GCGTGGCTGATCTAGCAGGCACATACAATCGGTCTACATCAACGATTTGCACTATCCTCAAGAAGAAGGGCAAGATTAAGGAGACAGATGCTTCAAAGGGAGTGACAGGAATATCTACGCAACGGTTACGTATTCTCGACGATGTTGAAAGGTTGCTCCTCATATGGATGAACGAAAAGCAATTGCAAGGCGACACTATTAACGAGAACATCATTTGTGAGAAGGCGAAAGTGATTTTCGCCGACCCCGTTAAGAAGACGCCAGGATCATCAGCGGCCGAAGAAGAAGCATTTAAGGGAAGCCGTGGGTGGTTCGAGAAGTTTAAGAGAAGAACTGGTATCCACAGCGTTGTAAGGCACGGTGAAGCAGCAAGCTCCGACACAAAGGCAGCAGAGAACTTCATCGGCGACTTCAAGAAGCTCGTAGATTCTGAGGGTTACCTGCGCAACAAGTTTTTAATTGTGACGAGACGGGTCTCTTCTGGGAAAAGATGCCGAAGCGAACCTATATAACAGCAGAGAATAATGCATTGCCCGGCCATAAGCCAATGAAAGACCGTCTCACGCCGCTATTTTGTGCCAGTGCAAGCGGCGATTTGAACATTAAATAGCTGCTTGTTTACCATTCAGAAACTCCACGAGCCTTCAAGAAGTGTAAAGTCTAGAAGAGCAGGCTAAGTGTGATGTGGAGATCCAACAACAAGGGTTGGGTGACACGTGCCCTTTTTACTGATTGGATCAATGAAGTGTCTGGTCCTTCTGTGGAAAAAATATTTGCTTGCGCAATAAGAGAAATGCTGAAATCATGGGAAACTGTTGCATCGTACATTGAGGAGCACCACCCTAATAAGGCAGTGGCTATGCGCGCTACAAATTTATTTAATAATAATGCTGTGTCGCATTTTCACCACATTGTGAAGCGTCGGCAAAAACAAATGTCTCTAGACGGCTTTCTAGTAAAAAGAATGAGATATGTATCATAAATAATAAACTAATTATTTCGATTTGTTTGTTTTTGTTTTCTGCAAATCGAATTCGCATTCCAGGTTGGTTCATTCCGCATAGAAGAAAAGATGAAGATGATTCACGCTCCTTAACAATGTATATATAATTTTCTTTGAATAATCGTTATACATAAAATTTTTTGTGTATTTTTTTCGGCATGGAACGCATTATCGTATTTTACATTAATTTATATGGGAAAAATTGTTTCGCTTAACGAGTGTTTCGCATTACGAGTAAGATTCTGGAACGAATTATGCTCGTTAAGCGAGGTTCCACTGTAATCAAAGCTTCTGGCCTTTTAACTACAGTAGGGCCATGTTAGGTGGGTTCCTCTCACCACGGCATGGCGCGTCGTCAGGTTGCGGATAGAGGAGACACCAGGGCTTGAGGTGGGGCTGGATGCGGCGGGATGGCATCCCGGTTCTTTTCTAAATGGCTTAAAAGCATCCCGTTACTTCTTTGGCAGTAAATGCAATGTATGAATTAAAAGGGGAAAACATTCCCGGTTCTATTTTCATTCCACCTCAAGCACTGGGAGGCACCCTCCAGTTTTGTATGTAAGCTTTGAATATATTGAATAAGCAGTTGCGGACAGCCGACAAGGGGTGGCCCTCCAGCTTGGGTGTTGGACTTGGGGATAACTCCTCACCGTAAAAATCATTATGTTACGAAAATGAACACAAAGCCTCGGACCGATAACAGAACGAAACCTGATTCAGGATGAAATTAAGAGGCGGTTGAACTCTGGTAATGCTTGCTACCATTCAGTCCAGAACCTTTTGTCTTCTCGTCTCTTGTCCAAAAACATAAAAATTAGAATATACAAAACTATAATTTTGCCTGTGGTTCTGTATAGGTATGAAACTTGGTCTCTCACATTAAGGGAGGAACATAGACTTAGGGTGTTTGAGAACAGGGTGTCGAGGAGAATATTTGGACCAAAGAGAGATGAAGTCACAGGAGGTTGGAGAAAACTGCATAATGAGGAGCTTCATAATTTGTACTCTTCTCCAAGTATAATTAGAATGATCAAGTCAAGGAGGATGAGGTGGGCAGGTCATGTAGCACGAATGGAGGAGACGAGAATGCGTATAGGATATTGCTGAGAAAGCCAGAAGGAAAGAGACCACAGGGAAGACCAAGGCGTAGGTGGGTGGACAATATTAGAATGGATCTTAGAGAGATAGGATGGGATGGTATGGATTGGATAGACCTGGCTCAGGATAGGGATCAGTGGAGGGCTCTTGTGGACACGGTAGTGAACCTTCATTTCCATAATAGAATGCTGGGAAATTCTTGAGTAGCTGCAGAATTGGCGGCTCCTCCAGAAGGGCTCAGCTCCATGAGTTAGTATGTAAGTAAGGGGTAGGGACACAAATTGTGGCTGTTAAAAGTTTATGATTATATTCCAAGTACCAGCATTGTCTGTTTTCATTCCTGGGCTCCAGGTGTTCTTAAGTCCCAGTATTCTTTTCTTTAGATCCAATACAGTTCAGTAGTGGACATGATGAAATATTTTGTTAATGAGGTAGTGGCAGCAGTAATGGGTCATTATCTTGCCAGGTAAGCAAAAGGTCTCTTTTATTATTGAAAAATCTGCCAGCTTTTCCCATTGTTGGCGTTTATAGCTTCTGGTTTAATTTTAATGTCTTGCGTAAAATGTTACTGAGAGAAAAGTGTTGCAGCACAGTTTGCTACCTGGTGTATTTTATGTCTGAGTCACACATAAGCTTGGAATGAAAGGACAACAAATTTGTGAAGACCCTGTCTTTGGTAGTAAACATTAATGCATAACCATTGTGGTTCATTGTTATAACAACATGCTGACAATGGATGGTAGAAACCAGACTTTTTTTGGCGCAGTCATTATGGAAATGCACAGAAGTTTGGGTCCTATTTTCTAACTTTTTCGTATCTATCTGTTTTGCTGCATGTAAGTAACAACTTCTGACCAATAAATGGAGTCTGATGAAATTTTTGGTTCAACGTGGAGAACAGTAGTGGGCACTTTACATGAAGGTGGCTGTGCGTGCTTCCTCGCACATTTTGAATGTAACTGGCAAAATGCTATTGGTATGAAAAGTGATTTGTACAATCGTTCTAGAGGAAAATGAAACGTGTAAAGCACACTTCATTTTTAAGTTACGCAGGTTTTAATATGAAGAGAAGAGTGTGAACAAACCAAAATTTCTGCATCATGTGTCATGTGGTGTGGATTTGCTTTCGTTCTGTTCAGTTTTGAAGATAGGCCTAATGTTACAATGATTCCCTATGTGTTTGGACTTCTCAGAAATGCCCTTCAAAGAGCAGGTGGACAGAGAAAGGAGGATTTTTCTTTTTATCCAGATGACTTGGAATTGGAATTGAGAACTGAGATAATGAATTGTTGGGGATAACCATGCAGCTGAAGATCACGTCTGAGGTCAATTTCATTAAATATACCATGTCATTTTTGGTATATGATAGGAGCTGTTGTGTAGGGACTTAATTATACCTCGTTTAACATTTGAGAGATTATTAGATTTGAAGTTGAGGTAGGAGCCAGTGTGAGTGGGTTTTCCATAAAATTTAGTGGCCAGTGCCGGCCCTTTTCTGATTACCAGAACATCCAGAAAAGGATTCATACTGTGTGATTCTATTTCAGTGGTAAGCTGGATGCGAGATGTTAAGGTGAATCAAGAAATTTTCTAATCTATCTGGACCATGAGGCCAGGCCACAAATGTGTCATCTTCATAATCGAAAGTGGCCCAGCATGCCTATGAAGAAGTTCATGGGGTAGGCTGGGATAATGCTAGGATTTTGGAAATTGAATGTAACAACAGATGTAGGAAATACGGGTCGGCCCGTATGCCGTGTTCAGCAGCTCGTATCAGCCAACCCAGTTTGAAAATTTCACCCACATGGATTTATCTTAATAACAGGGAAGTTAGGAATGTACAAGGAAGGCCATTTCGATTTCATGGATATCAACTATATTATTTCAGCTCTGGGGTTCAATTTTTGTTCCATTTATGGGTCTAGAGGTAGGAAGTTACTGTAAAACTTGAAAACTATTTTTCATCTGCATTAGTGTTTCTGGATTGGTCTGGTTTGATTAATTTATTTTTCACTTCCTTTTCTTTCTTAGTTTCAGTCTTTGTATGTTTTTCCATATTTTACTTTCTAAATATTCCTGTTATCTCCCATTGACAGACCCTGAATACCAACATAGGTTGCCCAGTAATTGAGGTTAACTGTCTCTAATGGACCCTTCGGAGTATGTGCCTCCCACCCTTTCAGCTGAATATAGAAACAGATGTATTTTCCAAAATGTTCAGTACTTTGGAATACAGGAGGATGGACAGGTACAGAAGTCACTGATTCAGAGTGTTAGACACCATCGCCAGAACCCTTTTGAAATGAAGTAAAAATAAGAGCATTGCTTATTGTGCCAAGCTTGATTAGAATTACGGTAAAATATTTTGTATTGAGCGCCCGTCTTCATAGGGTGGATGATTGGTGTTCCAGTTTGCCGTGTTCAGTTGGTGCTTGGTGATTCTGTCATGTAAAGGTAAAGCTATCCCCATAGCAAGCTGTGGATGCCCATAGGGTTGTGAGATGCGGAGGCTGCGACATTTTCTAGATGGTAGGCTCAGAGATGGTGGTGAGGTCAGCCTTATGCCCCCCCCCCAGAAGAAGATTCCTGGTACTCATCTGTTAGAGAGGCTGAGTCGACCTCAGGACAATAGTGCGACTGGAAGGATTAGGTGAATTGAAGAATTGAAGACATGGGGGATAGAACCCGTGACCTTCCGGCTTGTAGCATAATGCCTCAACAAATTGCGCTACCGCATGCCACCCTTCTAAGTCATGTAGGAAATGTAATACCTTGCCTGTCATTGAAAATGTTGAAAATAAAACTGATACCATGTCGCTTCCTCTGCATCATCTGTCATCTCTTTCTGCTTTCTTATTGTCGGTTTTTATATTAATTGTATTGTGTTCTTTTCTTTCAGAGAGAAAAAGCAGAAAATAGAAGATATTAAAAAGAATATACGCGATGCAATATTAGTAAGTACCCCTTTATATACTTAAGATAACAAGAAGCTCTGGGAAGAACTAACCTCCTACTTTCCTTCGATATGACACAGACCGCAGAGAAAACGAAAAATTAATATGAGGGGGTGGGAACACCTACAGCCCTTTGTCTAGCAATGATAAAGGTGTCACACAGCTAGACAGTCTCTTAAGCCTCAAAAGTGAGGGGAGGGGGAGATGATAAACGTACACCCATGTGTCAGCAATTTTAGAGACACCTGAAAATGACTGATGTTCGAAACATGTAGTGAGCATACACCAGTGATGTAGAAGAGATTTTACCGATAAAACTTTGTCCACACTGGACATACCTTCATTCGATTTTTTCACAGTGCTTCACAGTAGTGTTTAGCATGGACACAGAAAATCTCAAGTGTGATGCCAGTTCAACACTTGTGCCAATATATGCATCACCTTACGCAAAAATATTTGTTTATCATTTATTGTAAATGATTTCTGTTTTCTTCTATTGTCTGTATTTGATTCCCTTACTGTGTAATGCTTCTTAATCAACAATACAATTTCTACGAAATGAAGTGACATGGGCACTGGGATATTGAAGAATTTGACATGGGTGCATGTCTGTTGAATGTTTGACATACAGGAAAACACATGCTGTGTTGCAGTGGTAATTTTTTGGAACTCTTGTCAAACCTGAGAGAGAGGCACTGATCTCGTCAAGTTATAGTTATAATACAATGCAAGAAGACCAAAGCTGGCCTAACGCGCGAGCTGTGAGGACCTACAGAGGCAGGAAAGTCCCCACATGTGCTATAGGCCTTAATGAAGTCACATGGTGCAGCTGTGCCTCAGCCAATTGGTAGTGTGTAATTTTAGACTGAACCATTTTCGGCTGCTGACAGTGAAGGAAGTCCATTGCCTCAGATGAGATATCCTGAGAACTAAACTACGAAACGGAAAATCAGGAAAGTCTTCGTAGTAAGAACTAGAAAAATGAAGCGCAATTTAAGGGAAAACATGAAACTGAGGAAACGTAAAATCTGTTAAAGTTTAACGCTGTTATTGTGGGCATTTGGCCAGTACAGTGCAAGAAGTGCATAAATTCTTGGAAAACGTAAAAATCCTGGATCGTAAAGAGAGTGGAGAGGTTCAAATTGTTATGGTTGTTTCAGAGAGGTGGTCAGTAAGGAAACTCGAGCAGGAATGAAGAAGACCCTCAAATTACATGGTTCAAACTACCAAGAAATTAGTGGCCAAGAGAGGCTAGAAGAAAGTCAGGTCTGCAAAATCCCTTATGAAGAGCAGGTCCTGACACCAAGTTAGCTTTATGATTAGGCTGTTGTAAAGATTGTAGTAACTTTTTGAGTATTATACTGTAGATGACCACAGTACTCAAATGATGATGCAGAAAGAGAGTTTCAACACAGCTCAAACACCTCTGGGTTTTCAGAAAACATACATTGCCATTCCTGCCTCCGAAGTAATGTTTAGACAAGTTTTTCAGAAACAGGATGTGTTCAACACTACACGTATAGTACACATGCAAAAGATAAAGAATGTCGGTTAGACGACAGAGAAGATTTGTAATTTGTGAATTTGACATAAAGTGGCAGCTTGCACATGCATCTCAAGTGAATGATGGCGAAATTCATCTAACATTTTTGCTTCCCACTTGCCCAGTAAATCTTTCATGCACCTTTCACTTCTGGACTTTATGAGGGATCCGGCTTTGAAAGTACTTACAAAAGTGCATTTAGAAACTGCAGTGAGTTCACCATATGGTCTCAGTGAATAAGGATCCTGTTGCATGTCAGAGAAAGTGGTACCCTAGATGCTAATCTTACAGGTTGTATTTCTTAGTTTTAATATTTTAGAGAATAAGTCTGTAAGGTTTCATCTTTGCATTTCATATTAATGTTGTATTACCTGTATGACTTATTCTTTAATCCAAGTGACCACTAATAATATGAATGTAATCTGTAATTATAAAGAGATATATACTAGTATCTCATCAACACATTTATGCCCTAGCATGAAAGTTTCTAAAAATGTGCATCAAGAATCACTGTATGTTTTGGGAAAAGCTTGCATGAATTTTGATGTAGGGTTTTATAAATTAAGAGCAAATCTCTGCTGAAGAGATGCAATAACTTTAAAGTAAATTGGCTTATTGTTTGTCACTTCCTCATAAGACTTTGTAGGTTTAAAAATGTCATTGAACTCCAAGGAAGTCACCTGCTGTGGTGATAAAAAAAGGGTCAAGGAATTTAACATGTTGAAGTATATTTCTCAGGTGTGTATCACACTGCAAATCTATCATCTCAGTTGGAGATCAGTTGGTACATTGTCAAAATTAACATCAATGGGCGGTGGCCTCATGCTTTCAGATATTCTGAGAAACAGGAGTTGAATTAAATTTCTTAGCATCAGTGGGCATTTTGGTTCTGAGAATTTGGAAGTGTGTCATGTTGTTTGAGGGCATTTGCAGCTCTCGCAGCTGAAGCTTCCTCTCAAATTCTTTATTGTCAGACATTTCATTGACAAAATGAGCTACCCCTTATAGGTTGGTGTTCAGTTCATTCATGAGTCCTGTGATGTCGGTGCAAAATGCTACGTTGACACATCAGTAGTCATGCATCACAGAGCTGATGAAAAGGTTTTGCCTTCATTTCCATTGTCTTTACACATTTTACCGCCTGATTATAACTCAGCCAGTGACTTATGTATAGAGAGAACACTCTGAGTTCAGATTCAGCATTGTGTATAAAATCTTTAAATTGGCAATGATCTATTTCTTTTTATGTAGTACAATTAATGACTCTTCTTATTTTGAGGGATTTTAGTTTGTTGAACATTAACACATCAAATCATGATCCATTACATTCTTCATGCTGATGATAAGCAAAGCAAACCACTGTTCCTTCTGGTCATGTTCCAGGTGTCACTAGGCCATCTAGTTTCAATATTAGGGTGTCTAGACTTTGCAGCAGCACCTGCATTTTTTCATATAAATCTTCACCAGCAGTTATATCTTTCGTTGGCATTGAGGCGTCTGTTTCCTTAGTTATGAACAGAAGCAGCAAGTTGCATTGTGTTACTCATGTCAGTGCTTTTGTCCAGTGCCATGGAAAATAATTTTAAACTGTCAGCTTTAATTTTTATGCTCTCTTCTTCTCTCTCCTTCCAGTTGTGAATCTTGATAAACTAATTTTAGAAATGATTATATTGGGTAATGCGATATCTGCTATTTCTTCTTAGCATTCTTGTATTATTTCTGCTTTGCTGAAAGGTTTAATCCCCTTTTCTAAAGCTTCAGAAACTGTGTCTGGCATGCACTGCTGTGTTTTATAATATAATGTTTTATAATGTTTTTATAGTGTTTTATAATGCTGAGCTTTGAATAAACTCTGGTTTAGATGGCTATAAAACTAGTTACCTTGTTTGTTCTTAATGGCCCTGTATGCTCTCATTAGTAATTCATGATTTGTTTCGTGGTGTCTGTTAGTGTCATATTATTTTGAAACAGGTACTTTTATTACAAATCATGCACACATCAGCCCATTTAGTACAAATAAAGAAATACTCTTCAGTCTGCGTGCTTTGAAGTATACAGTTCTTTAAGCAGCTTTTCTTTACTGCATCCATACTAGGATTCAGCAGTTTGTTTAGAAGAAAAAATCTAGTGACCAGTGTAAACACTTTGATCATTAACACCAGTGAACTGAATGCAATTTACTCACAATCAGCTGTGCGGCACTGCAAAATCGTTTTCATTCTTTTTTGAAGTTTAGCTTGTGTGTGTATGTTGTCTGGTCACTGGAATACAGGGCATCATAACATAAACCCATTACTAGACTACACTGCATCGCATCCCAGAAGACCTAATCTTAATCTGTGTTCCTGTTTTAAGATTTTCCACAAAGTTATTCATGTGCTCGATATTGAAACCGTTCAAACCAGCACTGTTGGCTTCTTCCTGCCATACCATGTTTAAAACGTAGGCTTCATTCTGCATATTGGATTTCATATAATTTTGTCAGTAGCATATTAACACAAAAACATGCTGCTGCTCTCACACAGTAACGTTTCATGATTGCAATGCATAATGTAGTGTTTAATGTCAAGTGTACTTGTGTGGTGACTGGAGAACTTTCCTGTGTGTGCACACGTGCTTTGGTTTGTGTTTGTATGTTTGTGTGTGGGGGAGGTATGTGTGTGTTATAAAAACAAGATTTTTGAAATTTTATAGTATTCTTATGATAGGCAAATGAAAGAGGTTGTGGTGGCATAAATGTATAGATAAGATGATTGAAGCAAGTGTATGTAGAGTTTTGGTGGGAAAACGCCGTGGGAATGAAGGAACTAGTAAGATAAGAGGAAAATGGAAAGTGTGTATGTAAATAGTTGTTACAGAAATGGGTTGTGAGATTGTGACTGGTTTGAATTAAGGCTTGTATCCCATTGAAACTTATGATACCATTAATGTTGAATATGGTGTTTCTGTTATCAGAGAGTTACTTGGTTAGTATTAGTGCTTGTTAATGGTTGTTAGACATTGCACTTGAGTTTCATGTGTCTTTTATGCTCTACAGACAATTACGGGTGCAATGAGCACGTTGACGCCTCCCATTGCTCTGGAGCATCCAGCCAATCAGAACCGAGTGGATTACATTCAAGATGTTGCCTCGCAGCATGACTTTGATTATCCACCGGTAGGTAGATCCTTGTCTGAGAGGTGGAGATGAATCTTTCTCATGTTGGAGCATTTCTTTTTTTATGTATATACCCTAGAACTGGAATTAATAGAATGAGAACTTTAAGAAAATAAGGCAGTAAAAGTTTTATGTAGTTCGTTATGTTCCTTATATTGTGCTGAAGACCTGTACATCACTGCACTGCAGAATTGTTGGGAAGATGTTTTCTTTGTTACAAGTCAAGTTATTTAATTTAAGTTTGTGGATGGAACTGCTAAGTGACCCAGTCCTTAGTCCCCAACAGCTTTAGCAGAATGATTCTGAGAGTCTACCATAGTGAGTTGATTGTATTTGAGCTGAAGGGAAGATAGGGAATAGTTACACTTTTTATTGCTGTGATATCTTAATTAAACATATGAGAGAAAGAAAGCATGCGGTATGAATGTGTTCAACATTACATTGAATGTTGGACGGTCATGACTAACTTGAAGGGGTTTGAGGCTGCTGTGCCGAGGAGAATTATTTTCAGCAAAGGGTGGAAAAAGAGAAAGTCAGGGAAAATTGTGTAGAAAAATTACTGTGCCCCCTATGTTATGGATGTAGGAGTTAAGAATTTTACCCTCATGGAAATTGTAAACATGGCCATAAAACTCATGACTTGGATATAAATTTGACTTTCTGGAAGTATGGTACAAGTATTAAAATTATTCAAAACAAAATGTGTAACATATAAAACTCTTCTCTTTAAGAAATGGTTATTTGTGAACAAATACAGATCGCATATGCCCATGCATAATGTAGCAGGATATGTCGCTGGCCACTGGCTAGCCTATGCGCATGATTCAGTCATGTAAGGGGATGGATGATAGCATGGTTGCTACTACAAGTCTACTATAGAATGTGAGATTGTATTACCCTTATGTAAGATGTCCCTGTGTCTGCTGTTATTGCCGATGGATAGAAACTTGGTTCTAATACAAATTAATTATTTAGTTTATTTACAACGAAAAGGATTCAGTGGAAAGATAGGTTTTGCCTTGGACTTCCACAATACTGACATATTTTCAAGAACACATCCTGTCTGTAACACAGGGGCATCCCCTTTCATTGGGATGATTACTTCAAGGAAATGGGAGGATAATATTAAAATGGATCATACAAAAGAGGAGTGTGGGCTGGAGTCATCTTGCTTAGGATATGGACCAGTGATGGGTTATTGGGAGCACAGTAAGGAATCTTTGGATTCCATAAAAGAAGGGTAATTTCGTGACTAGGTGAGCGACAGCTTCTGCATCATGATTTTGGCTTGCTTACTCATACTTCATAGAGACAGAGGCTGGAAAGTGTAATATTGTAATGTGTTTTTTTTTCTGGGACTGCAGGTACTTTGATACCAGAAGTACCTTTTTCATGGTTACATTTAGAAATTGGAATATTATTTCATGTATCAGGAAGAAAAAGCAATTGAAGGTGGTCTGGTGATTCCAGTTCTTATAAAATGGATTTCAGTGAAATGTTTTTATGGTCGGCTGTTTCTAACTTACATGCACCACTTTCAGTATTGATTCTTTTAGTACAAGCAACAAACACACACAAAACTTCAGTTATGGATTTTATTCACTTCTGCCCATGTGATAGACTTTTGAAGTGAAGATAGTTTTTGTTATGTTCTATATGTTATATTACAAATTTCCATTTGAAGACAAGGATAATCTGTTTTGTACTATTTTGTTATAGTGGAATTTCTACAAATGTCAGATGCTAAGATGATTAGTGAGTTAACAATGAATTGGAAAAGGATCTGGAAAGAAGTGGTTATGGCCTAATTTGAGGTTCTCGTCTCACATAAAATCTTTTAAATTTGCCCAGTGCAATGGCAGAGTTTCACGCCATCACTTTATCTGTAATTAATAACATAAAATTATCTTCCTTCTTGATTTGTATGCACCTTGATCCATATCTACATTTGGCATTTTAATTTGGTTCGTTTCCATGCCTTTCTCTAGTATTTGCCTCAGTCAGGGTAACCACTGTCTGGGCCATGATTTCAACCGATGACAATCCAAATGTGAAACTGAATGCCAGCCATTCAATCAAGCCATGCCTACTGTTTACAAACGCCTTTAAATAAGAGAAGTCAACCTGCTCACATATTTGACACATTTGTTGAGTAATGGGTAGTGTTTTCATCATTAATTTTCTGACTGCACTGATCGCAGTTTCTGATTCTTAAAACATATATTAAAATGTCACTTACATGTATACTAAGAACCCAGATAGATGTCCTATGGATAGTGGCATGCTGGTGCTTCAGGCCTCTGCCTACTCTTGTATTCTCCTCCAGCACTCTGTGCCATGTCTCAGCAGCCTAAAGTTTACTTTGCTACGAAAGGTTTTCACATGCTTATCATTACCAACATTCACATGAACAGAATGATGAGACTGCTGTAAGGGAATATAAAGAAGTAGGGTGAAGGAGGAAACATCACAGCTCTCAGTATAATAGAATATGCTGCAACATACTCAAATAGGTGACTCCATTAGCAAGAATTATAGTCTGCTATTTTTTGTCGAGTAGGGTTTGGTGCATAAGATAGAAGAACACACACATTTACAGCTCTTGCATGAGGAGCTTCACTTTTTCTGTGCTCATGCTTCTCTAACCAAGGGTCCCCCCCCCCATACATTACCACAACAAACGAAGTAATTAAGAAACCATCCAAAGTTCTGAGGTCACTTGAATCTTGTTCACATTTCCAAAACCTGTTTTCTTCAGATTAATTTTTTCCATATACTCTACCTTTGCTTCAAAAGCGGAGTACAATATTCATCCTTTCATGAGCACATGCTCTAGGATCAGTTCATCACAACGAATTTTAAGAATTTGTTTTCATCTATGTCACCTGATATGGATTACTCTCTTGCGTGTTCTAGTTCTAAAACTATAAATCATTTGGAAATTTTATAGAACTCTTCTCTTTGGGCGGGAGATTGGTCCTAAGTAAAGTCTGCATGTACACAGAACAAAGGAAAATGTGGCCACACAGTGGTCGCAACCTAAGTGACCCTCACTTTAACGGGACTTGGAGCTTGGCTTTTACTGGCCAGCGCCGATGCATTAGCCAGGAAGCTTCGACGCGTGTGCAACCTCTTGATTAATGTTACGCCAAGATTCTATCTTACGCACCTATATTTTAAAGAAACTGCTGGAAGTGGTGTCCATCCGCATGCAAACACATCTGGGACATCTGCTGCAGCTCACCGTTTGTAATATTGCCTATTAAACCCCCAGATTAATTATGAAGGGCTTTCATTCTCACTTGAATCTCCCCATATCACCGTTCTGTGAGTGTACGCTTTTGGCGTCGTTTCTTTTTATCAAGACTGGCGCCTGTTTATTGCCACCTGTTAAAAAATTTAACACCGTTTACGGTGGTCATGTAATCTTTGGATATAAAGTCAAAGTCATGTTGCGACTGATGGTCAGTCAGGCTGTCTTGGTGTCGATATTACTTTTTAAGTGAAAGTTACTCTCCTGTCAATGTGGGACGCCCTCTCTGACGAGGGGTCGGGTCTCATTTCTCAGTCATAGTCGACAGTATTGGTCCATTGTCACTATGTACACTTATTTACAGTTGAATCTTAATATCTAGTATGTATAATATATACAAGACCTCTGTCAGTTTAGGCTCAGTACAGCTAGTAGTATTCGCTCTCAGGCAGTCTGGTCACTTGAACGGGAGTAAGCCTAACCGCCGCCAAGTTTAAGCCTCTTATACTTTCTGTGTCAGGCCTCGCCTTGTCCGATGTTGCGTACATTCTCATTATCATGATTTTGTATGACTTATACTTCTTGCCTGCATCATTTTGTTATATAGTCATATACATACGGGATTTTGAATGTCATGTGCAAATCGCAGACCGGTGTGCGCCTTGGAAAATGGCTAATGGTGCGGAGAACCTTGTTTTGCAGGCGCTGCAATTTCACTAGATAAGTGACTGCCGCAAACTCCCAGGCGGGACTAGCATAAGTCATTACGGATCTAACGAGAGCTTTGTGGAGGGTCATTTTAATGTTAGCGCTCAATCGCCCACTTTTGAATAGGGAATCTAATGAATGTTCTGAAGGCCTTGGCTTCGATCATTTCTATGTGCAATCTCCATGTAACTCTCTTGTCGAAGATTACATCTAGATATTTTGCACTATTTACAAATGGAATATTTCGTCCATTTATAGTGAGACAAGACTCAGGCGGTCGACGACTACAAGACAAGTAGACTCCCCTGAATCTTATCTTCATTAATTTTAATATTTCAGCGCTCAAACCAGGTCTCCATTGAGCTGAGACCGCGCTGGATTTTTCTAACAATAAAACCCTCCTTGCTATCTGTCCTTTGGATATCGCCATCGGAACTTAGGTACATACTGCTTGTCGGACCCGCCTAGAATGAATGTCTCGACAAGAAATACGTGTTGTTCCGTTGTGCACCTAAGCATCCTTAACTCACATCTGTTCACTGTTAGAAACATCCTTCGGCTAGTATACCTGTGTCAAGTAAGTCTGGGCACAAAGCGAGCCTTTGTTATGACAGCATGGGACATGGTGAAAACATCGCTTGCGCTCCACGGCCAGTGGATCGGCTCTGGCCGGGAAAAGCCTCTTTCGAATTCTTTTTAAAGTGTGAATCACTTAGGTTTGGCCCTCACTATACATCCGTACTCTAATGGGAATTCAAACCCATGATCCCATTGAGTAGGTGAAGTCGGTATAAGCCTTAGACCACACAGTCATTTTGTTTGGCTCATTTGTGTTTTATGGCACTCTTTCGGTGAACTATACTTAGTTGCAGAAAATATGCACAAAAATTTCTAATTCCTGGCAGGGCCGTCGTTTTGGGGGGTGGGAAGGGGACGCGGCTTCTAGAGCAGCGTGAAGTCCCACCCAGCCTGACGTTAACGGGTACTGGCTGCTCTTCCCTGGGTATGAAGTGGCCAGGTTATGACTCTGACACCTCCA